AATAGTCAAAATATGGAGACCACCATATTCCACGTCTTCTTTATCCATTCTTCCATTGACAGACACTCAGGTGGTCTCCATATTTTGACTATTATGAATGATGCTTAAATAAACATGGGAGTGCAGATATCTTTTTGATATGCCTTTTTCATTTCCTTTAAATATTTACACAGAAGGGCGATTGCTGGATCGTATGGTGGTTGTATTTTTAATTTTTTGAGGAATTTCCATACTGCTTTTCATAGAGGCTGAACTAATTTATGTTCCTACCAATGGTGTACAAGTGTCCCCTTTCTCCACATCCTCATCAACACTTGTTATTTATTGTCTCCTTGATGACAGTCATTCTAACAGATGTGAGGTGATGTCTCATTGTGGGGTTTTTGTTGTTTGTTTTTTGGCTTATAAACAGCAGAAGTTTATTGCTCACAGTTTTGGAAACTGGAAGTCTGAGATCAGGGTTCCAGAATGGTTGGATTCTGGTGAGAGCTCTCTTCTGAGCTGCCAGCTTCTCATTGTATCCTGATGTGATGGAAAGGCTCATTATGGTTTTGATGTGGATTTCCCTGATGAGGAGTGTAGAGCACCTATTCATATACTTGTTGACCATTTCGATGTCTTCTTTCGAAAAATGTCAATTCAGTTCCTCCACCCTCAGTTTCCCTGCCATTTTGTTCATTTCAGGTTTTCAGTAGGCTGAATGAATGATGACCATTGACATTGATGAGGGAGAGCATCTACTGATTTAAATGATAATCTCTTCTGGAAACACCTTCATAGACACACCCAGAAGTAATGCTTTCCAAGTATCTGGGTATCCCTTAGCTCCCTCAAATTAACAAGCATAAAATTCACTATCTCACCAACCTCAGACAAGGTCACTCTGAGACAAGGATATAGTGAGAAAAAGCAAGCCTGGTTCATAATTTTTTCCAAGCACAGGACCAGACCAGGTCCCTGTGCAGCCCACAAAATACCAAACATCCTTCTCTCTTGCTATTTCTTTACCCAATTATAAAATTTCTCTGGCTTTCTGACAGCATCCAATCTGGAGTAAACCCCCACTTCCTTGGACTTTCTTCCAAATCACCTAACTAAAAGCCCAAGTCCTGTAATAAGTTCTTCTAAAAATTTTCCTACTGAGACACCCATGGTCCCCTGCAGGGTGTTCCCTCTTGCTACAATGAGTAATAAATCTATATTGTTCAACTATAGGTGTATTCCCAGTGGTCTTTGGCTAAAGGGCATGACAAAATCCATGCTGTGCATAAATATTTGTCTTTGAGAAAATTACTTTTTGATAGTAAAATAAAGATCGTGAAAAATAATTGCATTCAGAAAGAAGGAAAATGTAAGCAAACCTAATGTGAAACCTAACGTGCTGAATTGCAGAGGGAACAGAGAGGGAAATGGAAGAGAGTAGGCTGGTTGATCAGCATTCTCCTCCTTAACAAAGCTCGCATTACTACAAATGACCCTAGAAGGGAAGGTATGGAGGTGGGACAGGGGGACTGGGTCTCTGACCTTGAAGGGCAAAGGGAACTTTAGCTGTCTTCTCCATTTGTGCCAGCTGATGTATAGACACAGTTTTATTTCATTTTCACATGAGTTCTGCAAGGAGGATTTTAGCACCATCATCACCACTCTCTGACCTGAAAAATGGAGAAATCAGGGCCTGGAGAAAAGTTAAAAAATATATTCAGCAACATAGAGTGAAACCATAAGATATGTGAAACTCATGGGCAAGACACTATACAAATGGTCTCTAAATACAGCCAAATGTTTGCACACCAGTGGAAAGAATCATTTTTAAATTTAAGCTAAGCCAATAAAAAAAATATTTGGGGATTGAATTTTAAAAAGTCTTAAAATTAGATGCGACATTATAACTATTGTTAAAGTTTTATAATTTTCTCATTGTCAAGAGTTTCTTTCATTGCTTTTTGCAGAAAATGGAAAATGTTTTTGGTTAAAATTTCAAAATCAGCAGAACCAGCAACATTGCAGTCTCCGAATGTAATATTGCTATATTGGGCAAATTTTGTTGTTGTATAAAATAATTTTGAATATGGTTTATTTAGTTTTTTTTAATTTGTACTAAGCTCATAAACTACTTACTTAAATCATGTTTCTCACTCTGCTTCTTAATATTAAATTTATTTTAAAAAAATTAGTTCTTATTAAAATGTGTTGATAGGTACTATCATGTTTTTTTAAAATTAAATATATCAGAGTAACATTGGTTAATATATATATATATATTAAAACGATATAGGTTTCAAGTGTACAATTCTATAAACGTCATCTGCATGTTGCATTATGTGTTCACCACTCAAAATCATATCTCTTTCTGTCACCATATATTTGACCCTATTACCCTTATCTACCTCCCTCCTCCCCCTTTTCCCTCTGGTAACCACTAAACTGTTGTCTGTGTCTATGAGTTTTTGTTTGTCTTGTTCATTTGTTGCTTTCAGTTTTACATCCCACATATGAGTAAATCATATGGTTCTCAACTTTTTCTGTCTGACTTATTTCGCTTAGCATGATAATCTCGAGATCCATCTATGTTGTTGCAAATGGAGTATTTCATCTGTTCTTATGCTGAGTAATATTCTGTTGTATATATACACCACGTCTTTATCCAATTATCTATTGGAGGATGCTTTGGATGTTTCCATGTCTTGGCCATAGTAAATAATGCTGCAATAAACATCAGGGTGCACATATCTTTATGGATAAATGTTTTCAAATTTTAAGGGTAGATACCCAGAAGAGGAATTGCTGGGTCATATGGTAATTTTATTCTTCATTTTTTGAGGAACCTCAATACTGTTTTTCATAGTGGCTGTACCAATTTTGCAGTCCCACCAGCAGTGTATGAAGGTTCCTTTTTCTCTACAACCTCTTCAATACTTGTTATTACTTGTCCTGTTGATGAGAGCCATTCTAATAGGTATGAGGTGGTATCTCATTGTGGTTTTGATTTGCATTTCTCTAATAGCTTATGAAGCTGAGCATCTTTTCATATGTCTGTTGGACATATGTATGTCTTCTTGGGGAACACGTCTGTTCAGATTCTCTGTCCACTTTTTAATTGTATTTTTTTTTTTTTATTGTTGAGCTGTGTGAGTTCTTTGTATATTTTGGATATTAGCCCCTTATTGGAGATGTTGTTTACAAATACCTTCTCCCATTCAGTTGGTTGCCTCTTTGTTTTGTTGATGGTTTCTTTTGCTGTGCAGAAGTTCTTTAGTTTAATATAGTCCCATTCATTTATTTTTGCTTTTACTTCCCTTGCCTTTGAGGTCAAATTCATAAAATCCTCTCTAAGACCAAGGTCCATGAATTTAGTACCTATGTTTTCTATGCAATTTATTGTTTCAGGTCTTATATTTATGTCTTGATCTGTTTTGAATTAATTTCAGTATATGGTGACAGAGAGCAGTCTAGTTTCATCCTTTTGTATGTGGCTTTCCAGTTTTCCCAGCACCATGTATTGAAGAGGCTTCTTTTCTCCATTGTATGTTTTTGAAGCTTTGTCAAAAATTATTTGCCCATACATACGTGGGTTTATTCCTAGGCTCTTGATTCTGTTCCAATAGTCTGTGTGTTTGTTTTGTTAATAGTATCTTTGATATGATGTAATGAAAAGGGTACTTTACCTTTGTGGTCTTTCCTCCCCAAAATACACAACTTTTGTCTAATCATGAGATAAATATCTTATAAATCCCATTTTAAGGGACATTTCACAAAATAACCAATCAATACTCCTCAAAACTATCAACATCATTAAAAACAAGAAAAGTATGAGAAAATGTCACACCCAAGAAGAGCTTAAGGAAATATGATGAATTAATGTAATGTCTTACTTCTACATCTTCACACTTTGTACTATTAGATGTTTAATCTTTGCCAGTATTTTGATGAATGGTTTTAGTACTCATTCTGATCATTTCCCAAAATTTATTTATTGGGGTTGCAAAGTAATGATTTTTCTAATTTTATAAGTTTTAAAAAATCAGGAATGGTTGTTAATTTTTATTGACTACGTTTTCTGCATCTATCACAATGATCATTTTTTTCACATTGAACAAACACTGTATTCCTGAGATCAACATTGTTCTTTATATGTTTTTATAAACTTCTGAATTATACTTAACATATCTTATTTAGCGATTGTAATCTATTTTGAAAAGTAGTTTTAATTTTTTTATAACTTTTTTTGTTTTGATGTTAAGGTTATACTTATTTTATCAAATGAGTTGGGTAGCAGTTCTTCTGGTTCACACTGGACTTGCTGTATCCTGTATCTAGGGGCTTCTTTTGCAAAGGAGCACTGAAGGCCACTTACCAGCATTTGGCTGTTGTTGGTCAGCTACACTGACCCAAGAATGTTGTCAGTTGGTTGTGTCCTTCTAGTGGCTTTTATTTTTACTGATAGGAATAAAGAAATAAAGAAAGGAAAGAAAGAAAGAAAGAAAGAAAGAGAAAGAAAGAAAGAAAGAAAGAAAGAAGGAAGGAAGGAAGGAAGGAAGGAAGGAAGGAAGGAAGGAAGGAAGGAAGGAAGGAAGGAAAGAAAAGAAAAGAAAAAGAAAGAAAGAAAGAAAGAAAGAAAGAAAGAAAGAAAGAAAGAAAGAAAAAGAAAGAAAGAAAGAAAGAAAGAAAGAAAGAAAGAAAGAAAGAAAGAAAGAAAAGTGAAGGAAAGAAAGAAAGAAAAGTGAAGGAAAGAAGGAAGAAAGAGCAGATAAACAGAAAGAACAAATAAATAAAAATCAACTGTCTTTTCTTCAGCCAGAGAAAACCATAATCACTGATCTGGGTATATCTTTCCTAATCATTAGACTCTTTCATGAAGTTATTAAGCCCTTGAAAAATCTGCTTTTGTCTGAGATTGTTAGTGAAGGTTATTTCTTGAACCAAGTTGTTCTCTTATTTGGCTACTTTGATTAAAGAAGAATAAAAGATAATTGTAATGATTCTTTTATTTTATTTTATAGGCTTACTGGCTGCAGACTGTGATTACCATGTCTGACTCAGTAATTCTTCGCAGTGTGAAGAAATTTGGAGAGGAAAATCATTGTTTTGAGTCAGATGGATTATGTAAGTGACATTTTTCTCTCACTGTCTCTTGTATAAAGAGAGGTTAGAACAAAAGTAGAACAAGCTAGTGAAGTTTCAAGGGGAAGATAAAAAATCTTCAACATTTGGAATTATTACTGGACATGTTTCATACACTTGAATGGGTGGTTCTCCCTAGAATCCATGTAATGGGATGTGTGAAAGTGCTAAGGTAAAAATGCACAAAGTGTGTGAGTGAAGAAAGTATCTCACCAACAAATGTCTTTTTCCTAGGCAGAATAGGATTGTCCTAGCATTGACTATTATTATTACCTTTATTCATATATTATTGTAATTAATTATAGTAGTAATTATTTAGTGAGCATTGCTTCCTAAGAGGAACTGTACCAAGACTGTGCTGGTCAGAATGAGAAAATGTAAAAGGGGGTCCACAGCACTAGGACCTAAAACATAGTAAGGATAGATGTTTCTAAGCAATTATTAGTTTTTAAAACAAATCCTATAATTTTATACTTTACAGAAGAAGAACTGAGACTTGGATAATTTTTTTTAAAACTTGGCAAAGATCCCATGACGAATAATAAATGGAACCAAAATTTTAATCCAGTTCTGTCTGGTTCTCAAACTCAAAATATTAATTTCTATCCATACTATAATGCCTCTTTATTAATTGAATTAAATTGAATTAAACTAAAATGCCAGGGGAATCAGGCTGTGCTGTCCTATGGTGATGGTTGAAATTAGCACCTTGGGTATTTTCTCATGTGGCTTCCCTATACCCAGATCCTGAATCCCCACTTCTACTTCTACTCTCCATCTGCTCTGAACTATACTGGGGAGAATAATATGCAGCTAAATCCTATGGCTTTTACTGGCATGGAAGTGTCAATGGCATCTTATTTTGTAGTTAATTTGTGGTTTAAATTTGAAATAGATAAATTCTGATGTTTCTAAAGAACCAAACAATAAATAAATATTTATTTTACTTGGTAGTTTAAAATAATCAGGTTTTCTTCAGTTGATTTAGAAATGTTGGTCTCCAGTTGCTATTTGGAAGATACAAGTATTTCACATCTTGGAGAAAAGTCCAGAAATGCAGTTGAGCCAGCAGTTCTGTTCCTGAAAAAATATCTTTAGTATGTATGTATGGAAGTATATATATATATGAGAGAGAGAGAGAGAGAGAGAGAGAGAGAGTAAAAGAAAGGTAAAAAAGCAAATAATAATCATTTTGCAATGTTCAATGAATAAAAGTAATTTAAAGGAATGTTTTTCCATAATAAAATTGTTAATGACTATTTTGCATTTGGTCAGTATTAACTGCTTTATGCATTGCTTTTATCCTGACAGATAACAATGATAAGAATTCACGGTAAGTGACTATTTCAACAACACATCTTTTCTAGAATAATTCTGTAATATTTCATTAAAAGGTATAAAAAATATATAATATTTTTATGCACATCACACTTCTAAAATGATATAGGTAATTCATTCTTTTTCTTTTAAAAATATTACTATAATTTGATTTCAAAACCTCTTTTTAATATCCCTTCTGGACTAAGTTCAAATCTATTGTCCAGGAACACCATAGAATTTCCAACTAAATGGGCAGAGGGAAAGTTGGGCAAGATGATTTCATGGGCATGGAGGAGGTCTCCGATCCTGAAATTCTTCCCACAGAGAAATTGCAGAAACTTAAATTTTATTTATTAGGTGTTCCTCTTTAGTTTAAGAATTTAAATTCTCATATAAAATGCCAGTAAATCATACTTTGGCATGAAGGTAAGATTAGATGAAGTTTAATTTAGAAGATAGAAAAGAGGTGCCAGGCAAGTTCCTTAAATAGAGGTGGTGGAAAGGGACAGGTTGAAGTTATCTAAGAAATTTTAAGTAATTCATGGCAGAGGGAGGCGTTGTGTAAAGACATTAGCTTTGGACTAGGAGTGGCAGGATCAGCTTAGGTCTTGAAGGACCACACTAAGTGGGAGAGAGATGAAAAGGGGGTGGGAGGAGGGAGTAGGTAAATGGCAACGAGAAGATGAGCAGAAAGGTTGCGTGAGTTTTTCAGTTTTTAGAGGAGATGAATCTATCTCTTAATAGATGTGGTAATGTAGAATGAGATCAGAGTGAAAGTTTAATAAAGCTACTGAGGGGAATGGGAATAACCTCTAGAGGAATGAAGTAGCGTGGATTGAGCTAAGGCTGGAGACCATACTCATTCATTCATTTCACAAATATTAATTGAGTGCCTATAGGTGTCAGGCACTAAAATTAGGTGCTGAAGATACAGAAAAGAACAAAATATGCAAAAATCTCTGCCCTTGAGGAGCTTACATTTTAGTAAGGGAGACATAATAAACACCATAAATAAATAAAATACATAGCAAGATATCTAGTGATAACCTTTCGCTTTCTTTCTATAAAGAAAAAGGGGAACGCAAGGTCCAGGGTGTATCCATGAATGGATGACTCAGGTGAGGTAGATATCCCTGCAGTTGAAAAGGTCAAAAACAGGTTAAGTATAACTTTATGAGAAATAAAATGAATAAGAAATACTGAGGAAATATGACTTTATGGGAAGTATGGGAGTTTTTTTTGGAATTTTTCATCATGTCAACACTATTTAATGTAGTTGTAAATTTTTTAAGCACTGGAAGGAAGTTTTATATCAGTTAATCCAACCACCTCAACTTACCCACAAAGAAATATAGGTAGAAATAGGTCAAGGGTCAGGGCTGAGCTCCAGGAGTTATTTATTAGTATAACTGGGAGTACTGTCTTTTTATTTTCTCTCAGTACTTCTCAGAAAACTTTAATGAATTTCTACTGAAGATGAAATATAGGTATACTGAAATCTCTAGAAGAGGTAAATCTGAAGAATAAAAGTTTGATTTTAGATATAAGTTTTGGCCAGTGTTTTGTTTTGTTTTGTTTTCTTACTAAAGAATGACACATAAAATCACCACCTCGGGAGAATTTCTTATTGTTTGGAAAGGACAGTTTGTAAATCCTTATTTTTTTTTCTCCTCAGATTACAAAATGAGAAGAAAAGTGATAGCAGTCTAGTTGGCTTCTTTCAACTGGTAATAAAACTGTGCTGATTTATGACATAGGTTTTACAACTGTGAGTTTTCAGATCATGGAGGAAGTGTTAAATCTTTAGTCATAATGACAGGTTTTTAATGACAGCAATCACTTTTTCAGTCATAAACTTTGTCTATGTGATAACATGCTGACTAGCAATTAGAAATATATTGTTGATTAATCACACAAATCCTATTCAGTAGATCAGAAAAGTTCCTGGAAAATAATCACTAAGCCCGTAATTATCATTTTAGTAAGGAAACTCATCATAGAAATCGTATCATGTATATTTATTCTTATGAAAAGTCTTTAGAAATTTCATAGTATAGGTATTTTCCCCAAATTTGCTCAGGGTGGAGGCATTTCTAGGAATAAGTAGTCACCTTTCCCTGTCAATATCAGATCTTAAAGACAATTTAGGCTATTGCTGAATGCCCCACGCAGCCTGTATAGATGACAATGGCATCAGTACCAGTGACTGTTTACCCCTTTAGTTGTGGGTGAATAGCTAAGAACTAAAGTCAGCTCTTGAGATAAAGAGAGTGAATTCAGAGACTAGGAAAGAGATAACATGGACTAACAAAGTAAGAGTCTAATGTTTTAGATAATTGATATATCATTTATTTTGATATAATTGGTGAAAACTCTGTTGTTCAATTAAGGTGTTTCCCACAGAATTCGGTGTTGAATACTATATGTCAGAATCTAGTAGCTAACATTAAATAGTCCTCTTACCTCTCCTGCTTTTCACCCATAGATGATCTCTGAATCCTTTGTTTTTCAAGTTTCGGTTTTCTTCGACGACTGACATTTGGCTGATGTCTGTGGGAAGTTTATGTGCATTTCTCCATGGACTAGCCCATCCAGGCGTGCTACTCATTTTTGGCACCATGACAGATGTTTTTATTGAGTATGACACTGAACTACAAGAACTCCAGATCCCGGGAAAAGCATGTGTGAATAACACCATAGTGTGGCCCAACAGCTCCCTCAACCAGAACGTAACAAGTGGAATGCGCTGTGGGTAGGCTGCTTGTTTTCATTTTTCACCTTTTTTGTTCATATCTTAAATTGTAATTCAAAACTTGTAAAAGGACTTCATTGACTGAGCTGGAATCATATCATAAGGAGAACAGAAACACAAATTTACCTGTATTTCTATAAATTGTTCTGCCCTGAGGTTTTTCCTATCCTACCAAGTTATTAAATACAAACGACAACAAAAAACAGAATTGGAAATTGACCATTGAATACATCATCTAAATTTAATCACTTTGTAGACTATAGGCTTGAGGATGACATTACCAATAATACTGAATGCCAGTAGGAAGATGACCCATGGATTTTACTTGAGTCTTATGGCATGTTTCATACCCAAGACTTCTTCTTTCCCCCTCTCTTCTATTTATTGGCTTCTGTGGCTGTGGCTGATGATCCACTAGATCCCCAACCTTCTTTCTATAACAGGAATTCCATTAGTGTGCTACTCCACTAGTTTCGTTAGTGGAGTAGGGGCCACTGGTCTCAGTTAGTAGTTGAGTTTCTATGGAAGAGTGGTTTGGTGTCGTGAAAAGAAGGAAGCCATGCAGAATTAGCCAGAGCTCACTTCACTGTGCTGCTGTTCTCTTTTGTGTTAAGCCCAACAAGCTGCCTTGTAATCGGTGAGTCTGTAGAGTACACAAGATTGACTCATTCTCATGGCATAGACTTTGTAGCCCGCCTTACAATGCCTCAGGGCCAGAACAAGTTCTTTTGCATGTATGAAACCGTACATTCAGGTTTGAGAATCAAGGGCAGGGCACATCCTGGCTAGAAAGATAATTAGAATGGCTCCTCCAAGTGAACTTATATTTTTCACCTTTATTTAAAAAATTATCTACAAGCTTAAATCCAGATTATGAACAAAGCCTTCTAAATCATTGATGTTCTTCCATAATATTGCCTACTTTTAGAATCATTCTTTCATTCATTCATTCATTTAACCAAAATTTTGAACATCTAATATGTACCAGGAACTCATGTAAGCATAAAGGATACAGTGGTTATCTTAAGAGCCATCCATGGTCCTTATCTTTCTGGAGCTTAGCTCTAGTCAGTGAGACCATTGTTATATCAGTGACCCTTCAAATAAATATGTAGTTGCAAACTGGTTAGTGCTTGATATAAAAGTACAGGATAATATACAATGTGCAGAATTATGCTTCAAAAAATACTAAGCTTACTCCTTAGAAATAAATTTTCTAATGTCTGAATATGTATGTTTCTTTTCTAAATTTGGAAGTAGGACTCAGAACAGTTTGTATAAAAGAGAGACTGTTTTCAGTGACAGTCTTTCCAGTCTTTCATTTAGGTCGGAGGGTAGATATGAACTGCTTTTTACAAAGCGGTGTGACTACAAAATATAAAGTTAATCACTCCACTGTTTGAAAAAAAATGCATTCAGATTTCTGTATGATGTAAATTGACCCAAAAATATGAATGATACTTATGAAGATAAATTTTTTCAAGAGAAAATTCCTGGAAGTATACCCTGTTATATCTTTTTAATCCTGTTATGTCTTAAAATTTGTAAATAACTGTTAGTGGGGCCAAATTTGAGACATATTCATGACACAAAGTGCTTATAAATATTTGTTAGATGAATTAAAGAATGAATCTACCTTTAATGTCTGCATCACCAGCATTCATTAGAAAGGACTACAGTGTGGTCACCCATTACTCACATGTACTTTATTCTTTCTTACTGGATCATGTACTTGAAGGTGAGCAATAATGCAAAGCAAATAGAGACTTTCAAAAGTTCATAGGCTTTGGCTGAATCCACATGATACCAAACATGTATATGGACATTTGTCCTTTTTTAAAAAATTATCATACAATAATCAAAGTTGTGTAGACCACACATTTCTCAGGCTATTCCTTTGCCAGGAACTCCTTTGATAAGTTAAATACTTTAATTGTGAGTTATTACGATCACTGACATGAATACTGATTGTTATACTTCTGAATTAATGTTTGTCTATATTTTATGTAGTAACATCATTGTGAAAATGGACTTGGGTGGGAGGGAGAGAGAAGGGCGAAGACATTTTCCTACCTGTAAGTAGTTAATGTGCCTCCAAAATGACCCAACTCTTTCACAACTTTCTTTCTTGAAAAAAGTTAAAAGTAAATCATTAAAAGTAAAATTTCTCCACTCATAATAGGTGAATTAATCTTGAACTATACAAGGCAACTCAATGACTTTATCAACTTAAGCATGCATGTATAATGGTAGGAGCTGGTTTTTCTCTTTCATAATATTGGTTTACATACATCAGTTGTAATCCATTAAATGAATTTATAAGCAAAAGCCCTTCGAATGGCTCTTCACGAATAATGCTGAAAAGGATTACAGAACATTAGACCTCCTGATTAACTGATCAGAATTTATTTGCTTAGAATAGTCAAAAAATAAGGTAAAAGAATGAAAGAAGATGAAAGAAGGGGGATTCCAAATATCACAATGCAATTTACTTTTATCCAATTAAAGTATAAAATCTAAAATGGAAGCCACAAAGTCTTGTAATGTAATTGCGGAAGTGACATACCGTTATTTCTGACATAATCTCTTGGTCACACGGACCAAGCCTGCTACACATTGAGAGGGGACTACATGAGTATGCATACCAGGAGATAAGAATCATTAGATAAGAATCATACTACATGAGTATGCATACCAGGAGATAAGAATCATAGGGGCTCTTTGGAGGCTGACTTCCATAGCCATTGGGAAGCTCCTTTCCTCACTTGCCCCACGGGTGGGTGCATTGAGGTAGAAATCAGACTGTACTTTCTCTTGGATTTCAGTCTATTATCTTAGCAATGTGCATGTAGCATATGTATTCAAGTGCTTTTGAAGTTAGACACTTTAAGACCACATGCTTTTAAAAACAGCTTTATTGAGATACAATTCACATATATAATTCACCCATTTAACATGTACAAATCTATGGTTTTTATTATATTCACAGAGTTTTGCATCTATCACCACAATCAATTTTAGAACATTTCATTAGCACAAAAAGAAATCCTATTCCCCTTAGCTATCACTCCCCAATTTCCTATTTCCCCTAAGCCCTAAACAGCCACTAATCTACTTTATGTCTCTGTAGATTTGCCTGTTCTGGACATTTCACATAAATGAAATCATACAATATGTGGTCCTTTGTGACTAGTTTCTTTAATTTAGCATAATGTTTTCAAGGCTCATTTTATTTATCCATCCATGAGTTGATGGACATTTGAGTTGTTTCTACATTTTAGTTATTATAAATAATGCTGCTATAACCATTTGTATACAAGGTTTTGTATGGACCTATGTTTTCATTTCTTTTGAGTATATACCTAAGAGTGAAATTGCTGGGTCATATGGTAACTGTATGTTTAACCATTTGAGGAACTGTCAGACTGTTTTTCAAAGTGATTTACCATTTTACATTCCCTCTACCAATGTATGGGAGATCCAATATCTTCACATCCTAACTAATACTTCTTACTATCTATATTTTGATAGTAGCTCTAGTAGGCTAAATAATGTGCCCCCCCGCCCCACCCCCACCCCCAGATATTCAAGTCCTAATTCCCGGAATCTACAAATATTACCTTATGTGGAAAAAAAAGTCTATGCAGATATAATTAAGCTGAAGATCTTGGGATGGAGGAGATTATACTGGGTTATCCAGATGGGCCCTAAATGCAATCACAAGTGTTCATAAAAGGGACAGTTACTAAAAGGGAGATGGTGGGAGATTTGGCTGTAGAGAGAAGAGGAGAGGCAAAATGACCACAGAGGAGATTGAAGTGATGTCACAAGCCAAGGAATGTTAGCAGCTAACAGAAGCTGGAAGAGGCAAGAGACAGATTCTACCCTAGAGCCTTTAGATGTAGTTAGCACAACCCTTTTGGCACCTTAATTTCAACCTAGTGAAGTTGATTTCAGGCTTCTGGCCTCCAGAAATGTGAGAAAATAAAATTTTCTGGTTTTAAGACACCAATTTTGTGGGTTTTTTGTTGCAGCAGCCATAGAAAACTAATACGATAGCCATCCTAGTGAGTGCAAAATGGTATCTCATTTTGGTTTTGATTTGCAATTCCCTGATGAATAATGATGTTGAGTATCTTTTTAGGTGGTTATTGGCCATTGATACTTTTTTTTTTTTTTTTGAGAAATACCTGTATCATTTGCTCATTTAAAAATTGGGTTATATGTCTTTTTATTATTGAGTTAGTTTTCTTTACGTATTTTAGATATAAGTCCCTTACCAAATATATGATTTGCAAAATTTTTCTCTCATTCTTTGGGTTGTCTTTTCACTCTCTTAATGATGATTTTTGAAGTACTAAAGTTTTAATTTCAATGTTTTACAGTTTATCTATTTTTTGTTGTTGTTGATTGTGATTTTTGTGTTCTAAGAAACCATTGCCAAATCCAAGGTCATGAAGATTTATACCTATGTTTTGTTTTAAAAGTTTTATAGTTTTGCTCTTATATTTAGGTCTATGCTTCATTTTGAGTAAACTTTTGAATATAGTATGAGGTAAGGATCCAACTTAATTCCTTTCCACAGAGCTAGTCAGTCGTCTCAGCACTATTTGTTGGAAAGACTATTCTTTCCCCATTGAATAGTCTCAGAATCCTTGCCAAAATCAATTTACTATAAAAGTGAGGGTTTATTTCTGGACCTTTTATTCTATTATATGTCTGTCTTTATGTCAGTTATATGCTATTTTGTTTACTGTGGTTTTATGGTAAGTTTTGAAATTAGAAAGTGAGTCAACTAACTTTGTTGTTCTTTTCCAAAATTGTTTTGGTTATTCTGAGTCTCTTGAATTTTCTTATGAATTTAAAGATCAGTTTGTTTGATTTCCACAAAGGAGTCAGTTGGGATTTTCATAGGGATTGCACTGAATCTGTAAACCAACTTGGGGAGTATTGTCATCTTAATAAAATTAGTCTTTTGATCAATGAACATGGATGTCTTT